CAAAACCCAAACTAAGCAAACAACTAGAACAGGACCAGAATCACAGAAATGGAGATCACATGGAGGGTTATCAGCGGGGAGGGAGAAGAGGGAGAATGGGGGAAAAGGTACAGGGAATAAGAAGCATAAACTGTAGGTACAAAACAGACAGGGGGAGGGTAAGAATAGCATAGGAAATGGAGAAGCCAAAGAACTTATACGTATGACCCACGGGCATGAACTAAGCAGGGGGAATGCTGGTGGGAGGGGGGTACAGGGTGGAGGGGAATACAGGGGAGAAAAAATGGGACAACTCAATAAAATAATCAATAAAATATACTTATCAAAAAAAACCCTCTCCCTCCAACTTCCACCGGCACCTTGCTCCATGGCCTGGTTGCTTTTCCCAACCATTTAATTATACCTCCAAGTTGGTGAGCTGGTTAGATCTGAGGTGAGTGCAAGTCCTGGGCTGATCTACGTTTGTAAGAGTTTTTCCTTTGCATCCCCAGACTGGCAGACACTGGACACTAGGCACTGACATTTTCTCTCACTGACTCCTGGCCAGAGAACGGGAGCTGCGGAGACCCGGTGGAGAGCTGTGGTGTGAGCTGGCTGTCCTTGCATGTGTGCTTGCTGACGACGCAAGACCAGCACACAGCAGCAGGGCAAGGATGGGGAGGAGAGGCCAGCGAAACTACAGCTTAAATATGGTCAAGTTTATGGAATTTGAAATATATAAGGTACAAGAAATAGTAAGAACAAGGATCAGAAAAGGGTAAAATAAAGAAATAATAAATATAATCATTCACGAAATTTAAAAAGACAATAGTCACGAACAATTAAACACATTTGTGAACTAAAATAATAAGTACCGGTTTTTCTAAGAAGGTTCTCTTTACAGAAGAAGGGTTTCAAGCACGTGACACTCATGCCCATATGCACGGTTCACAATGTCCGTGGACTAACGTGTTCCTTCTGTTCCTACAGTTTTGCTAAGTTGCCCTGTTAGTATTTGCCCCTACGATGACCAAGTGCTCCAGAAACTCCTTCGGAGTTCGGAGCAGGAACGTCTCTCACGGCACCCTCCCCACCCCGCCAACAGTGCAGTCCGGGGGGTCAGCAGCTGCGCACGGGGCGGCGGGAACTGGGCTCTGACTCTTCAGCGTGACGCTGAGCACGGGGGCGGGGGGGGGGGGCAGCAGCGCAGGAATCGGGGAAGAGCCCCAGGAGCCCGGGTGCACCACGAAAGACCCAGGCTAGGACCACCCACACCCCCGTCTTCTCCGTGACCACACACAGATACGAAGTCGGACCGTGAGGGTGCTGGTCGGAAAGCCAGCGACTCGTCTGCCGTGTGGTGCTGCAGGAGAGCTCTGTGGGACCCTGGCCCCCCAGGAAGATGAGCAGGTGGGTCCTGGGGCGAATGAGCCTGGATCGCCTCTGGGAGCAAAACCGACAGCACAGAGGCCATCCTACCGCGGGCTCTTCGGGAAAGAACGGAGCGCAGCGGGAGGAGAGGGAGGTCAGCTCTGAGACCGGCGGCTCCTCAGAAGAGGCCTCGGGCGGCGTCCACAGGAGCGGGGGGCGGGGGGGGCCGGGGCTGCGAGGGCGGCACACTGCAGACGCCACCCATTCCCCAGGGCACCGGGAGCCGGCGCTGGCTCAGGGGCAAGCGGCGCCGCCGTGCACAGCCTCCTGTCCTCAGCTCCCTCCCCTCGGACGTGGGAGACAGTGTTCCCCTCCGTGGGGAGCTGTCCGCCTCTCAGCTCCGCTACAGCGGCACGCACACACGTGCGCCTGTGTGAAAGGAACCTTCCAGAAAACACACCCACGACCTGAGAGCATCAGAGCCATGTAGTCCAGAATCCAGACGCCCACGCACAAGAACCCAGCCTACCACTGGGAGTCGGAGTGCCCGCAGCGCGCCGTGTCCTTCCTGTGACAGATGAAGTCACCAGGGGCTTACGAAATTCAGCAGCTTGCTGGAAGCGGCAGATTCGGGGCGGACAGCCTCGGTTCCCCCTTGTTATTTCAGATTCATCTTTTATACCAAATTCCCATACCGCGGAAAGGCTTCTCGTGTCACAGTCACCAACAGTTTGGCACAAGTGACTTTCGTTCGCATTTGAACACGATCAGTTTGGTGATCTGTACGAGGAGGGTGGGCATCTCTGTCCTCACGGCCAACTGGGGAAAACTCTCCAAGCAGCCCATGAGTGTTGTCACACACTGAGTCAAATTCATCGCTTTATAGAAACTTTCAGACTTAGTACAGTAACAGTTTAATTACCTTGAGTGGGGTAAGTTACTTAGCTCGTACACTGAGGAAAATACAACCGCCATCGGATATCTGGGGTGCTGTTCTGGGACTCGGAGAGCAGCCCCGAGCAGCGAGAACAGTTTCTGACAACAGCAGATCCATAAAACGCACCCTTGAATCGGACTGAGTTGAACTGATCTCATTCTAAATCTCCCCAGAGGCTGAAATGACAAACAACTGGTATATAATATAAAATCGTAATTTGTCTTCAAAAATATCACGAATAATATTTCAACCATTAACACAAGACAACAATGGGATGGGCCGCCTTGGTGCACAGTGGACGGCTCATTTCTGGAAACACTCAAGAAGTCAAAACCCTTCCTCGCCGCAATCTGGGGGGGCGGGGGGGGCGGGGGGCGTGCTCAGAGGGCACCCTCGCAGTGCGGGGGAATGAGCACAACGCCACCTCCCTCTGATGATTGTGGGTCTCGAAACAGGATTAGGCATCCAGAATAATCACAGTCACTGTATTAAATAGCTAATAATGAGATTATACTCTTAAAGCAAATCTGTCACAGTGCTTTTCATACTATGTATCTAGCACTCAACCGAAGTGTGGATTCTTCTGCTGAAGAAGGAACCCCTCGAAATCATGGGCCATGTCCTGCACATTACCTGTCGGCAGTGTCTAGCTTAATGTCTCACGCACAGCAGGTGCTTCATGTGCTGAATTAATATCCGAACAAGTGAATCAAAGTGTAAGATTTGGAAATGAGTTCTTAAAATTTTCATAAAATACCCTGAAATAAAATCTTAATCTTTTAAGCCTCACACTATGGGATTACTTTTTCTTAAAGCCAAACCCATGGAAGTTGCGTACGGGACGCAGGCCATCCTCACACTGCCGTGTTTAGGGTCGCAGAGGACATGTGGACACATGACAAGACACGCGAGTGGAGGAGCATGTACAAAGCATTAGAATTCTCCAAAGCCTTAACGAGTACCTATTCTTTGACTTGGGTGCTGTGCTATCTGTTGTGGAAATAATTTAGAGTGAAAAAAGTTTTAGGTAAAATATTGATCATTAAAACCTTTTTTATAAAGCAAAATTTTAAAAATTCAGCTGAGAATTACAAGAGAATTTTTTAGATATGTTTTTGCATAGCTTTAAAGTGGAATACTGTCTACCATAGAAAATGTTACAGAAATGCTCCTATTGATATAGAAAGATATGGATGATGCATAAAGTAAATACGAATAAAGAACAAATGTACAGTTTGTACAGAACAAATAATCCATCTTAAAGTTACATGTGCAAAGAAAACAATTGTGAAGAATCTTAAACCGACATATTAATGGCAGTGTTTTAATTTTTTATTATGTGTGTATACACATGCATCGTAGTACTCTGATTTTCCTAAAATGGACATATGCTAATGATGTAAATAAAACCAAAGTTAAAAAATCTATCTCTCTGGCAGTTCTGTATCAGGGGGAATGAAAACACTCAGGAGATAAGTTTCTGGTGATGTTACCACTGGAAAGTGAAGGAGAGAAAGGAGGGAAAGCCTAAAAAATGTGTAATTTTTCAACAATTAAAAACTAATTGTGTAGTAAATAGAGAATATTAGGTCCAAGTGACTGGTCCATCTCTCACAGTCCTGATGGGGACTGATCTGTCTTGTGCGCAGGAGCAGCCTTTCCCAGCCCCGCTCACTCGTCAGGAGAGAAAGCAGAGGTCCAGAAAGTCACACGTGTACCTCCAGGTCACGGAACAGGGACACAGGTCTCCAACGCACTGGTCAAGGCAACGCTACTTGTTGACGGAGCGGGGAAGTAGTGGAACCACGTCTCCACAGAGATTTTAAGAGGGTGCATGTGACCGCCCTGCCCACGCTGTGCCACCGGGGAAGAAGAAAACCCCGGTTCAGAAAAGGACTGCGGTTCTCGGTGGACCCTGGGAAATCAGTGTGACCCGGGCCCGCCGGCCCGCCCCGCCAGCCCTGGCGCTCGTGTCCGCAGAGGGGCAGGGACACCTCGTTCCCCAGGGCAGCGTGAGCCGAGACAACACAGGGGATGAGCGGAGAGCCACAGCTCCGGCCCTGACGGGAGCAAACACGGAACGCGTGGCCGACATCGTCACCCGCCCGCCTCCCCGTGAGTAACAGGTCGGCGGTGAAGAGGAGTTTCACACACGAGTGCCCGACCTCAAAAACCGTCACTTTCGACCCTCTGCACTCCGAGTCCGCCTCGGCACAGGCCCAGCTGCGGGGCCCAGGGAAGGACGGAGTGCGCGGCTCACGCACGAACGCCCGCTCGGTGCCACCGCCAGTTAGTTGTCCGAGTCCTTACGGGGCCCCCGTCCAAGAGTCCGAGTGGAAGAGCCTTGAGGAACCGGTGAGGAACCACGCAAACATCAGGAGTGAAAAAGGAGCTAAAAACATCGTGTAGGAACAGAAATGTGGTTCGGGCTGAAGGCCCTCAGCTTGATTTGGCTTGTTTCTGAGGTATTGAGATTACATATACAGCGCTCCCATTAGTGTGAAGATGTAAGAAAAATAATAACGATGTGTCAGCTTAATGTGCGTACCTAATCAACGACACAATACGGTAAAATTGAAGCGCCTAAATATCAAAGACAAGGAAAGCTGGCAGAAGAGAACATCAGGCGTCCCGGCATCCTGAGTCCCGCCTGTTTCCAGGCGACCTTTACAGCCCCAGCGTGAGCACGACACCCCCGTCTGCACAAACATACCGCACTCCGGGGCTCCTCGAGTGTCAGCGCGGGTCACACCAACGTCCAGACGGCTTCTGCACGCACGCCGGCCCCGGTCTCCGCAGCTGCCTCCCTGCACGAGGAAGAGGACAGAAGGTGTGGTTAGCGGACCCGAGAGCACACCCTTGACCGAACGGGACGGCCAGGCTCCCGAGAGGAGCTGGGCTCCATCAGCCAGCGGAGGCCGAGCACAGGGGCACTGCCCACACGGCGTTTCAGCCGAGGGACGGCCCCGGAGCTGCACCCCCATGGTGTCTCCTCAAAGCTGTAGTGCTTTTGAAATAAAAGTCTGGCCTTTGAGAGACATTACAGAGCAAGGTCAGGTGTGTGCAAGTGGAGCCAGTCCCCAGGTCTCTGGCCTACAAAGACCACCCACGAAAGGAGACGAGTCGGAGAGGGCACGGACGCCCAGGGACGCCGCCTGCTCGTCAGGCAGCGATCGCCGCCGCCAACGGAAGGTCCGGACTGCGGGCCAGCCCTCCGGAATCCACCGCGGCTCCGCCTGCAGAGCCCAACTCGGGCCTCAGAGTCGGACTGCGTCCCCAGGGCCAGACCGGGGCTGAGACAGGAGACGGGAAGAGGAAGGGGAGACGCTTCTGATCATAGTTCCCGTTTCCCAGGTTTACAGGAGGAACTGGGGGAGCTGAAGAAAAGGGGAGCATTCCTTCGGAACACAAGTGCCACGCTGTCTAACCACCAACCACATTCGTTCCAATTTTAGCAATTCCGTGGGAGGAAAAATGAGACATGAGATTCTGTGCCTTCCACGGCGCATGCATTCCTTCCCTCCACCTGGAATGCCCTCTCTCCCCGGGTCTCACGGCCTGCCCGGAGCCCCACGTTCTATTTTCGGGCGAGGCTACTGACAAGAGTGAGCATGTTCAGACCGAGAACCGCACAAACAGTAGCCACCATTACTGAATATCTGAGAAGCCAGGCTCTGTTAGATTCTGCGGGCCCGTTTCCTCATTCAGTCCTCAAAGACAGGAAACACAGTTCTCACGCTATGCCGGCCCGAGACGCTAGGAAGCGCACGGAGACACACAGCCGGACCGGGGGCGGTGGCGGTCTGAGGAGCTCTCTCCGACTCCGGAGCTCTCCCGGTGTCCGCAGACCGCCCTCCGCGTTCTCAGACCCTCGGCCCAGCATTGCAACCCTGGGGCCTGCATCGTTTTCAGAGAAAACCTCCAACACTGGTGAACCTGCTCTGGGTCACACGCAGAAATACACCCTTTTGCAGATAAGAGCCAACGACTGTTCCAGGACAATAAAACCATTAAGACCATTTTAGATCTTTCGAAATCAAATCAAATATATGTACACTTTGAAAAACATAATGGTGATATCAAGTTTCTGATGATTTCTAATAAATGGGGAAAATAAAACAAAGAAGAGCCCATTAGAAGATCCTTATGAGCCTTTCAGGCCTGGGAATCTCGCTCTATAAACTGAAAATGACAGTAAATCTAGTTTCTCCTTGGGTTAGAGTGTGCCTGCCTATTACCAGTCAAAAATTAGGGTCTTAATGGTTCTAAGTGGCCCAAATGGTTCCCTGCACGTGGGCAGAGCGGGCGAAGCCATCAGTGGCGACAGTGACACAGCAAACAAAGTGCCTCCACATGGCGCTGGGAGCTGGGGCAGGACCCCTACGGCCCGGCCTTTGCTCCCTCGTCAGGGTGGTTATCTGCAGAATGGGGGGTTGGGGCTGGGGGGCGGGGAGCATGAGCTACTGAGGGCAGGGGGGCAAGGGGTTAATCAGAGGAACAGACTTGGTGTCCAGAACAACTTGGCTGAGGTCTCCTGGGCACGGCGTGCACCGATAGGCTGGATGCTCACGTGACCACACAGGAAAGACAGTCACAGACTTCCGGCCTCCGTGTGTGTGTGTGTGTGTGCACGCATGCACACGCGCACACACACAGACTGACTTCATCGGAAACTGCCGCTGCTGTCACTCTCTTCCTGGCTCCCAGGCAAAACACTGGGCCTGTGACCTGTCCAGGTGCTCGAAAGCAGGTGAGTTAAAGAAATATTAACTAGCAGGGGCCAGTCCCAATCTTTTTATCTTATTTTCAAATGTAAGCAATCTAATCACTGCATATGAAAAAAATGGCAGGATTTTAAGGCTACAGGGTAACTTTCTCATGTGTAGAACAAGGGTTTTGGAGAGTTAGATAACCTTTAGGATCCCTTCTGACCTTGACAATTAAGGTTTAGTTTTCAGTAAGTTCAGGAAAGTGGTCTTTGAACTTATATAAATATTCTAGTTACCTGATAGTTATTTCATAATGTCTTTTTTAAAGATTTTATTTATTTATTTTTAGAGAGGGAAGGGAGAGGGAAAGAGAGAGAGAGAGAAACATCAATGTGGGGTTGCTGGGGGCCGTGGCCTGCAACCCAGGCATGTGCCCTGACTGGGAATCGAACCTGCAATGCCTGGTTCACAGCCCGAGCTCAATCCACTGAGCTGTGCCAGCCAGGGCTCATATTGTCTTCTAAAGCAATAAAACCCTAGCTATGTACACATCAATATCACCACTTTTAAACAGGAAAAGCGATGAACTTCCCATGTAATGACAACAGCAATGCAGCTACAACCTTCTGAGCCAGGCTCAGTCTGCAATTCGGGACCAACTCGGGACCAACACATCCTCGAGAGTTTCGGAGAAGTGACGTCAGAACCGAGGGCTGGCCTTCGGGAGCCCTCTGGCGGACGCACGGATCACGCTGACACACCGGCTGGACCGCTCCTACCGCCTCCCCAAAACGGAACTCAGATTTATCATCGGATACGCGATTCAGTCTCATCTTACAACTGGCAGCTTTCTGCATCAAGATTAGTTCATAACAAAAGGTGTTTTCACTTAGATAACTACAAAACTTTCTACCCACTGACGGAAGCTCCAGGCCCACTGGTCTGTCCCCACGCGGGTGTCCGTGGCTCCTGACGCAGGGACAGGCTGGGGTCCCCACCCCCCGAGGGGGCCCACGGGGACACTCGTCTGCCCAACAGAGGCCTCCGCGGACAGCAGAGTGGGACCGAACCGCGGAAAGGGAGACAATTCGGTTCCTGAACTCTAAGAAAGCCCTGGAGGCCCACCGCCTGGCTAGCGAGGGCACAGTCTGTTCCCGCAGACTGATGGGACCCTTCGGGCACGCCGGCCCACAAGTGCCCTTCCTCTATACTTCCGTGTATTCACACGCATGTTCTGTGATGCGTGTTCAGCTTCCCACCCACACGTCAAGGATGGTAGCAGCAGAGTTAGTTGCTCATCTCCTTCATTTCAAAAGATGGCCTATTTGCTTATTACCGCATTTTGCTATGTATAGTGCGCGCTTATGTATCCTGCACACCCACATTTTTGGCCCAAACTCTCAGGAAAAAAAAAACTATTGTTTAAATTTTTTAATTCAATCTTTTACTTATTTGTATTTAGAAACAAAACCGATTACCTTATTTCAGGGTATTATTTAGCATGTGAATATCATTATTGCTTTGTAGAGTCACACTTTCAACGCATGAGCATAAATTAAAAAATTAAAAACAGCCCTGGCTGGCGTAGCTCAGTGGATGGAGCGTGGCCTGCAAACCAAAGTGTCGCAGGTTCGATTCCCAGCCAGGGCACATGCCTGGGTTGCAGGCCACGGCCCCTAGCAACTGCACATCTCTCTCCCTCTCCCCACCTCCCTCCCTTCCCTCTCTGAAAATAAGTAAATAAAATGTTTTTAAAGAATTAAAAACATTTACATAGATATGGAATTAGTACTAACCATGTACAATGTCCTTATTTTTCCCTCAAAAATTTGGACCAAAAGCGCGCCTCATAGAAGACAAAATGCGGTATTTTTTAAATCTCGCGTCGTGAGCTACGCCTCATGAAAAAGTTGGACCCGAGAGGTGAACGCAAAACGTCTTCCCACATCTGCGCACACGGCGACAGCCTAGGGCAGCGGCGACCAACACCCCTCGGGACCGGCGGACCGCGGCGTCGACCTGGGCACCTGTCTCTCTGCTGCGGCTGCACTGAGCTCCTCTGTGGCCCTGCCCGGGGCTCTGCCGCGGGCGCCGGGGCCGTGGACGCCGGGGCCGTGGACGCCGGGGCCGCGCCCGTGCTGCCGCAGGCTCCCCGCGAACGGCCGCGCGGACGGGCTGCAAATCCTCTCCAGACGGAGGGGGCACAGCACTGACACCGGGAAGCACCCGACATCGGAGAAACTATGTGACTCTCTCAGCATCACGTGGCATGAAAAATGAGATTTACGTGTAGACCCAATTAATTGCCCACAGAGTCAGCAATCCCCAAACCCCAAGCTCCCCTGCGTCGCGGCATAAACACAGCCTCCCTCTAACCCCAGAGCCCGCAGGGTCCGGGGGGGGGGGGTCCCAGGAGGGGGAGGGAGGGAGAGGGAAAGTGCGCCGCGGGAGAAAATTTGCTCCCCGGGGAGGCCTCCCGGAGTCAGCTCCGGCATCCCCAGTGGCAGGCAGGGTATTTTTGTTCTGACGGGGGCTTGGCAACCCACCATCACGACGTCTCACGTGACCGCCACACGTGACCACGGCTGACCCGGAGGGATGTCGGCCCCCCGGCGGCGAATTGCGGTGCGCCGTCAAAAAGGCTCCTCCGCTCGCGCTGGAGTCCCTTCCTTGGAGCCAGCTCCTCACCGGGAGAGCAAGAGCCTTTGAACACTTGTCCTCAGATCACACCCCCCCCCCCCCGGGGAACCCCCCCCGCCCCCGGCCCGCCGGCGCACATCCAGCTCCAGGCGGAACGCGTGTCCCCAGGTGCCCAGGCGGCAGGCGGGGCAGAGCCGAGCAGCAGCCGCCGCCCTGGGGCCCCGGCCCCTGGCCTGCCCGCTCTGGTTGTGGGAGAAGGGCCGCGGTGCTCGCCCTCCGGCTCGGGGAGGAGCCCAGGGAGGTCTCGGCCCCGGGCGCCTCTCAGAGCCCCCTGGAGAGCCTGGAAAACACAGGGACGTCCGCCTGCAGACACTGGGATTCAATGGGTGGAAGCGAAGTCCGGACATCAGCGTTTCTTCTTCCTTAAATTAAATGTATCGGGATGGCACCGGTTAACA